GTTCTATTAAGTGTCATCTCAAAGTCGGGCTTTCTTTTATATTTCGCCTTCCGATTTTCCCTCTTACTTTTGCTCATCACTTATTTTTTAATCTTTCAGTGAATTGGCCTCGCGCTACTCGAGTTCTGGGCTTAATGTGCTTCTCGCAGATCCCCACGTTTCTCATGGCATAGATCCCGAAGCTCGTGCTCTCGAGGCCAAATATACCGGCATCACATTGCTATTACTCTCAGTCTTTCATCAACTCGCCAACTTATCGGCTCGCATATTTCCCCGACGCTCATTGAGTACTTGTCTTAAATGCATTGTCACAGGCACTGACTCAATTGCCTCAGCCGAATCAGATCCATCCATCCGCAATCAGCAAAGGGCTTTGCTTTTTAAAGACCTGGCTCTTGTACCATCCACAATGGATCCAGAACGCCTTATTGGAGATATTATACCCACTGATGATGGTTTGGTCCGTTCCAAGCTAAATCAGGATCGTCTCCTACGGCAGGAGTTGCTATGGCGGATAAGTGAGCGCTGGACACGCCTTGATAGCCATCCCAAAGCAATGCCAGTACCTCCACGGACAACTATGCTTGCTCTGCAGGCTACCAAGGGCCAATAAACTGAACTGGCGTTGCAATCTTGTCCTATACAAACAGATAGAGTGATCGTTTTGGTTTAAGCTTAGCGGATTTCAGAAGTCTTGTAATTATTTTCATTTCCGTTGTATTGTTGATGTTAGAGGGGTTGGTGGCTGAGTATTAAAGATTAAGATCAACTTTGTAGATCTAGAATTTTATAGATTCTTAGCCAATTCACTTATAATAAAAAGCGTACATTGACACATTTTGGTAATCGCAAATACTTCCTTTGGAAACTATCGTTCGCTTCGAGGTCATACATAAAGAAAATTATTGTCTTATCTCTTTTGCTTGTGATCCTAGAGCCGGTCTTATCAGTGTCAAATATTCACTCAAACGCCAATCCAAGTACCTCAGATTCGCTACTAAGCCAGAATACACACTATACATTATAGGGCTACTAAATTTAATGTTATCATCTGACATTTTATGATGGGTTGATCTCGGCTACACATGATTTTGGCCTCAGTAATCCAATATTGGCAGGTTCTTTTTGAGCAGCAGTGCTCAAATATGTTAGGGGCCGTAAGATCTTCCATGAGATCCAGACCATACATCTTTATCAATGTTTTAGATGATGTTTGGAAGTTAAATTTCATTCAGCTTGGGAAGACATGGAAAATTACTATGGGAGCGGTGACAGCAGGGACCAGTTAATTTTACGAGATAAAGAATGATATAGATTAAGAATATTCCGTGCATCCTGAGTGTTTAGACCAAAAACAAATGAACCATTGTTGCTGATTTCGATCGATAAACCACTGGCCTCACTTTTTGAAGGGTAACTTTTTCGACTGAGTTTTTGGTAAAATTATACCAAAGTTTAGTCACAAGATTTTAGTGTATTTTTAGTTGGATCTTTTAGATTATTTATAAAGACTTCCATTTCGTATGAAAGAGCTCATGATGGAGAGACCTCATCAAAAGACTGAGACATCCTCCTTTGCTTTGGGCGAAAAACAGGCTTAGCCTTCGTTTGTCATATGATGCACATCATCAGAGCTTGAACTTATTATTGCAAAATTCTCAAATTACTACTAAGTCAAGAGATAGGACTTCTCGTGATCTATCTCAGCCTAAACGTCGTACTAAAGCCACACAAGTGCAGAACAGCGGGGATCAACCCACATCTCTTCATACTCTCATACAAAATGAAAGTCTACATAACAACAAGAGATTGATAGAAACTTGCGTTTTATTCTTTTGGTATAGAAAAAATTAGTACGATCTATGATTATTAACCTTTACCAAATCTTGTATTAATATGATGGAGATTGCAACCGATGAAAAATCTAAGGGTTCAGGCTATAAAACAACCTGGATTTCTTTTTTTCTCTCTAGTAGTCAATTTTACCTTGCTTACTATCCATTATGAGAAGCTAATTGGGCTAATACACGTTGAATGACCTGAAGTGTACATTCCTCGCTTTATAAAGTGATAGTTCGATTGAAATAGTGCTGGTTAATCTTGAAAGCAGAGTGGAAATAACTGGGTGCAGCAAATATTAATAGAGATTTTTGAACAAGCAGTTACCTTTCTTTTATTTTAATCAGCAAAGATGCAATTAATAACTCTTAAATCTACGTAATCCTGTAGTTCGTAGATGGAAGTTTAGGCAAAAGAGAGATTCTAAGCAACTTCGTATTATTAAAAAAAATATCATTTACACAATAATTATTCAAAGGGCTTAATCCAGTGGCTTAGTAGTAGGCGCTGTTGCACGCCAAAATAAGGACGCAATTGACTATGAAATCCGACAAAATTATGAAAAAAAAACTTCAGCAGGCGTTGAATGAACACCATCTCGAGCAACTGTTAATGCATTGAGGTTTGATGAGTCATATATATGTTTCGGGCTAATTGATAATGAGTAGCTCAAAAGGCCTTTAGGTCTGTTTGTTGACATAATTGAAACTCCTACCACATCCTATTTCGGTAGACGATATATGATTTGGGAAGTATTTTGGATAGAAAAATAAGGACAAAAAAATACAAGTATAGTCATGTACTGAAACTGAGTCACCTTACTCGTGTGACATGCTGTGGAGGAAATCTGCAATTTGGGAAAATCTTGAAAAAAATATTTCACCTGTGAATAAACATGCGACTAGCCCCTGTGGTATCGAAAGTGAGGAAGATGGAATTAATCCGCAGGACAAGAAAATCATGATTTTAAACTCAGAGGTACTGCTAAATGAGCCTTCTATACACACAGGAGGTCCTATTTGGTTAAGGCATGGAATTATAGCAAAAGAAAATTAACGCTTAACTAATTGCCTATGCATATGAACATCTGCATTTTAATGTAATTTTATAGAGAACTAGAAATGTAAATCAATTATAAAAAGTTCTCTCTTGAAGTAAGAACTCTGGCTGATGCGCCCGGGAATGAATATCATGACTCCACATAGACGATTTAAATGACTGATCAATTTGCATTTTGTAAATTGCAGTATAGCATTATCTACCTTGTTTGATTTGTTGCGGCAGCAGCGTAGAGGGGTACAGGCATGCGCCGAGTGCAGAACCAGCTGTGAGGCACCCAAAAATCGAGCCAAGAGTTGAAGATTGGCTCACAATTACGACGGGCATACCACTCCATTGAATATAGACAAATTATTTGACCCATCCCGATGAAAAGCTGCACCCAGAGCATGACATTCCAACCACGTGATTGTCCGCGGACGAAAAAAAAAAGGAAGCCGAATCCGCCGAAGAAGAGAAACAGGACTGGGTAGAAGAAGCGGAAAACCACGGTGAGTATGTACTCATGAACGAAAGCAGATATGAGAAAGACTATAGAGGCAGCGGCTAGCTTGGCCTTTCGGCCACGGCCAAGGGCTAAAAAAATGTCTCTGTAAATGTAGGTATAAAGCCAGTCGTGTACTACTACATTCCATGTGCGATACCAGCCACTGAAGCCAGTGCTGTTCCACCAGTCTTTGTAGAAGAGACGGTCTCCGAAGCGCATCATTTCAGCAAATGCATTCATCCAGCAGTGTAGGAATGAGAAAAAGGTTAGAAGTAGGAGCAAACCACCTGGCAGAGTGAGATTAAGTCCAGAGAGGACGAGTTGTCGCAATGAGAGATGGAAATTCTCAGAACGACCAAACCGAGCAAATGGCTGAAAGCAGAACCTCGAAAAGATGTAATAGGCATATACCACGCAGGCCGCCACCTGGGCAAAGTTACTAGCCACGTAGTGCCAATGTACGCGCGGTGTGCGTGGATAGTTCTCTCTGTACACGAGGGTTGGCGCGAACATGAAGTAGAGGTAGTGTGAAAAGGATGGCCGCCAAGGCGTGGGCACAGATTCATAATTTTCCTCTCCATCACAGGCCTCTGGCTCTTCTGACAGGGAACGACCGCGTCTCCCTACTTCAGTAGAGTCGGCTGGTTCTGGATTACATCGACCAGCTGAAAAAGTAGTGGGTTTTAATGTCCACCATCCACGGTTGTCGTGAATCTGTCCTTGCGGAGTCTTTCCTGATATTGTCGCTGTGGTGCCAATCGGGTGCTCTTGAGCACTGATATCTATAGTCTCGTCGAATCCGTGAATTGCCTTACCGATGTTGACCCGAACAAACGCGTGCGCCTTCATGATCATGCGCACTTGTTCGGCTACCATGATACAGGAGCTGGCTGGAGGTAGATCCATGTAGAGAACATAGAGGAGGGGCACCATGAAGAAGAGCATCTTAATGGAAAAAAAAGCGGTTATCATAAAAATTATTTGGGCTCAATTGTCCAACTAACAGCTTATAAAGTTTGAGTAAGAAAAATATTTTTATTTAGCTCAATATTGGAATAAGATTTAGTTCGAAGATTTATATAATATTTATCAGCTAAGGAGAACCAGATCAAACGAGTGAAAACTTTGGCCTTAAGTTGTCATGCTGACTGAAGCTTTAAAGAAGTGTGTACCTATACGACCGAGACAAAGATGTAGATTATCCTGGAAAACTAATTTAGTATGAGACAAGGTAAGAGGATCTACAGTGGACGATACATTTATGTCTTTAGTAGTCCTATTTTAGTTGCAACAACGAGACTCGATAAATCCACTAGAAGATCGTCTATACTGAGAAGCTCAAGTTTGTTAGCATGTACATCCTAACAAGATCGATGGGAGAACTTCTTTTGTCTATATATTAGATAGCGCATTCTTCATTCACGCGAGAGGTATTCAATTATCTTTCAATACTCAGTTCCACTGACAAGTACAAATATGGGGCTGCCATGTTCGGTCCCCTAGGCCTTTCTTATTGAAACGTCCATTAGTATCCCACTATAAATGCGATTTGAGTGAGGCTTCGTTTTTTCATTATTGACTAGGTTTTTTATAGTAGCAATTCGGTTTGTCTTGAATTTTGCGTCTGCCCTGTTACTCACTAGCACCTGTGGCTCCGTAGTAAAGTGGTAAAGCGGTAAAGCTTCCACTAGCGATCTAGTATATAATCCTGTTGGGGCGCACCCCTCATTTTGTTCGAAAAGGTGGATAGAATAGATTCGTGATTGTCTTCATAAGAAAGCCTTGGAGTTGACTGCTATCATGTTATTCTGTTAGTTTTTTTGTATATACGCATTTGATGTGACTTGATAGCGTTGAACAAATTTTTTTCTTTTACCTCACCCTGGCTTTGCATAGAAATATTCATAATTCTGATGCTACCTTTAGTAAACTTATTTTTGTTGAAAGGATCGATTAAAATAGTGAAATTTTAGGTAGTCTACGATGCAATCGCTTCATTTTTAGTAATGCTGCTAGATGATGCAATAAAATGAAATAAACCTACAGATTCTTGCCAAAATAAGTTTATTGGGGGCAAGATTTTCATTTTTGCTATAAATAAGATTTCATCTCCAAAAGGACAGAAGAGGGATGAAGTCACGTGGGCCTAACTATATTATTGTGGAAAAATTTATATACAGGTTCCTTATAATATGCGACTATGGGTGACTGGGACTCAGTCAATATTCAATGAATTCTGAAACCCACTCTATACGAATATGAACATTATTTTCTAGAAGTGGGTCGACTTCGTTGTCGCAACTTGGTCTTGTCAGGGTGACTATGTAGAACGCACCTAGTTCGAAGTCGTCTGCACTAGAAGTTGTCACGATTCCCAGCATCTGACAGTGGACTTAATACATTCTCAAACGTTTCGCCGGCATCATCAGTGAGCTTTGGGCGGGAGTTGGATAAGAGGGTAAAGAGTAGATAAATAGGCCGGGACAGAAAGAGGAGTAATAGTGTAACCGTTTGCCAAGGGATTG